CCCGGGACCCTCCCCCACATCCCACCCCCTCCAGCTTGCGCTGATGTGACAGCCAGCTGCCTCAGCCTGTCCCCAGCCCAAGCTCCAAGCTGCGGTCTGGCCCCACTCCAGGACTTCCTATGGCCAGCTTCATGCTGCCACCCCTTCTGCCACCTGCTTCACATGTATTCACATTCTGTCTCCTCCTCTGACAGCCGCTGTCTCTCCCATGCTGGTTAGCAGTCTCCTCATACACAGGGAAGTCCAAAGTCAGCGCTCCTACCTGCAGCTTTCTCCATGACCAGCATTTCCCTGAAAGCATCACCTGGGCCTCAAGACAGGGACTTTTTTTATGAGCTCAGGGTTTTGTCCAGGAGGCGTTCCAACTCAACCAGAGTGAACTCCCAACCCCTCCTTTAACGATCAAAAGAAAATCGGATCTGATTTACACAGTTACGTTAAATAAGCATCCCAGTGATGATGCCAATTCAGGTGATTGGAAAAGGTAAAATTGAGTCAAAGTCCTACAGGTGTAACACTCAAAATCAGGGAAGATTTAAAATGAAAAGCTATCCTCCCTCTGCTGTCTGGTCCTACTCCACCCCTGCCTGTGTTGGGTGCACATACGGAGACTGTTAAGATCTCTTGTGTCTGTCTATAAACGTGCCCAAGATACCTTCCATAAGCCACATTAGTCAGTTCATGTGAACGCTGGGGACAGTTTTCATATAGATTTTTAATGCATGTAAACTGAATTACCATTAATCCCAGGATGGATTCTAAGAAGTCAACATGGTCTTACCCACTGGATGTCCTCATACAAGAAATTCTCCTAAAACAACATCTTCAGTGCATAAATTAATTTAAAATTGAACAGGGTAGTTTTACATTTTGAAGATAATAAAATTAACTAGATGGAACTGAGAGAGAAAACCAGTATCAAGCCTGAATGAAAAGAGCTTTAAAAACACAGCCATGCAAAAGCTGAGTCATTTTTGACAGAATTGCATGGCCCAGTGGAAGTTCCCAGCCCAATCTTAACAGGGAGTCACGTAATTCTCTTCTATGAACCAACCAGTTGCATCTGGCCCTGTGGTGACAGGCACTAGGGTGAGTTGATAATACTGTCACATGGAGTAGAAGACACCAACTTTCTTTAATTTTGCTGGCATGCTTTATCGTCAGATTAAGGAGATGCCCTGGACCATTTTTGACATACGATACCAAGTGGTGAGACTGCAATAAAAAAGCTACAAAGATACATGAGTTTCATATTCAAGATCATCTTTCTGTTCTGAAAACCCAAACATCAATGTCTTAGCCCCAGAAAGTAAAACTTACAATGAATAGGATGTGAAACTAGCCAAACAGACTGCTCGTATTTCGCCATGACGCTAAATGAAAGTGCAAAAAGTCCAACAGCTAAATGAAAGCTTACGGTTTCTTAGACGAGATCTCTGAGGTCTCTCTAGTCATCATACTCAAATGTTAGCAACAATAAAACACACAATTTAAATTTGTGATTTAGTGATTTTTTTTTAATGCATTTGGGGTTCTTTTAAGAGTTCTGAAATTTCCATAGCAGCTGCATGCTGCAGTCCTGGTGGCATTTGGGGAAATACTTGTCAAATCCATATTTGGAACCAAAACTGCCTGTGAGAAAACAATTTTTTTTCCCTATTGTTGAGTGAAAATTCCATGAGCAAAAAATTCTTGCATTGCGTCCAGTAGAAACATGTATTTCCACTGAACATGCTACCAGAACAAGCCTGCTTGCAGTGTTTACACTGGAAGGAAGTAGCCGGAACATGCGTGCTCTTCCTTCCTCCTTCTCCTTTCCACCTCACCCTGCGCTCTTTATCAAGAGGGCGGGAGTGAGCTGGCAGGCAGCCAGCGACGGCAAGCGCAACTGCCCTCCTCTGGGTCACGGAGCACCCTCTGATATTACTCTCCATCTGCAGGCCCTTTTCCTTCCCCATGGTGTGGCCATCTTAAAGGAATCGCTTAGAAGGTTCTGACTTGCCGCTGTGGCAAAGGCTCTTGCACCACAGGTCTGCACACTGTGGCCCAACTGGCTGAAGGACGCCTCTGCTCATTTCCCAGCCAGTTCAGGCCTCAGCTGCAGCTTTCAGCTTTGATCAAAGCTGAAGCCCATATCGTTGCAACATCATGTGTGAGCCTGGGTCTGCAAAGACCAAGAGGAAGCACAGAGGGGACATGGAGCGAGGCTGGGCCACCTGCGCCCAGTTAAGATAGGATGGAAGGGTGCAGCTGATTGGCCCAGGGAGAACAGGCTGTGTGCTGGGGATGGGCAAGGGGAAATTGGAGAGGGGCATCCAGGGGGAGTGGCGTTCCACCCCACTTTGCTGCCACTTCCCACCCTCCACTAAGTTCCAGCTACAGGACTTGGCACTTAGGAATAAGAACCCAGCCATCAAGGACTTAGAGGCTAGCAGGGGGTGCAGGCACACAGAGACACAGCTCATTCTAATATGTGTCAGGCTGATGAAGGCATGAATGGGAAAGTAATCAAGAACCCTGGGAACACAGAGAGAGGACACAGAAACATCAGAAGGATAGCCCGCAAGAATAGCTTGGTTGCAAAATGACCCATAAAAGGGAAAGAAAAGGAAGAAAAAAAAAAACCGCCACCAGGACATTTCTCCCTTTCTTTAAATCCTTTTACTGACCACCTACTCAGTATGATTAATTAAACACCAACTACAAACAAAGCACGCAAATAAATAAGGAATAGCTTCTGCCCTCCAAGATGTCAAGACAGAAACACAAGTGACTGTGGATAAGAATTTGGAACCAGTTGATCGCTGCTGCCAAACCCGGGGAAGAGGGGGTGGCACGAGCCCTGTCTGACTGGGAGAGTCCGGAGGACCTCCCAGAGAGGGTGCCAATGCAATGAGCCCCCAAGATGGGTGGAATTTCAATCTGCTGGATGGGAGGTTAGTGTGTGCTGGACCCTTGGGAGCCTTAAATGGGAACAAAGCTGGGTACAGAGCTTTCTCCCGTCTAAGGAGATTTGAAGGGGTGTGTCTTGCAGCTGGCAACACGTCCCTGAGCACACATCCCATGCTCTCTTAAAACAAGGGACATTTTGAGATATGATCTGCCTGTCCTGCAAGGAGGGTTCCAGCAGTAGCAGTTACGGGGCAGCAGGAAGCTGGGAGGGCGCCAGGCACAGGAGAGCTGGACTCTGCCCACCGGCTTGCACAGCTCCCTCCCTGCCAGCTGTCATCCAGGCCCTTCCCTTGGCCTCCGGTGGGGGTATCTGCCCTCCGCCCCTCCTCCTCTCAATGCCCCAAACTCCGCCCTAGCCCCCCACGCTTCTACCATGCTGTGCAACCTTGGGCAAGCTACTCAGCTGCTCCCCGCCTCAAAGTCCTCCTCAGGAGAATGGGGCTGAGGACGGGTGCTTCTCCCGTGTCCTGCGGAAGATGAAGTGGGAGAGCTGACACACAGGCCCAATCACGTCGCTCCTGGTAACCTTCCTGATGCGGCCCACGGCTCTGGAGCAATGTCAGGACCCCTTCTGCTGGGGCACAAACCCTTCGCAATCTCTCCTGCCTTTCTGTTCTCCCCTTCATAAACGTGGGCTTCACACAGCGCACGGAGAAGGCCCTTCATGCATAGCTGTAGAATGAATGCATGAATCTTCCCTAGGTTCCCGTAAGAACCTTCCCCTGGCCATTCTGAACTCTCTGGTGCCTTAGGCATGTCATCCTGGAAGAGAGCTTGCCTTTTGCCCGCCTTCATACCTCATCTGGCTGGCCCCCTGCTGGGTCCTCTGAGGCTCACCCAGACTGAGCTGGGTGCCCCTCTGGGCCTCCAGGACATCTGGGCCTACCTTCCCTTCAGAGACAATTCCCGAAGAGTCATGTCACAGCCGGTCACCCGTCTAAGCCCAGGGTTCCCTGAGCTCCGGGATCAGTCATAATTATTTAGAAGTCTCTGGAATGATGCCTAAACACTGCGTGGCCTTAGTAGGCACTTCATGAATGATTTATGAACCCGTGGATAAATGAATCAAGTGTCAGTTGTGCGGTATCAACAATACCAGGGAACAAATCAATGCGGTGCTTCCTTCTTCCTGCCGGCGCCATTTCTGTAGACCGCCCAGCGCACACCGCATTCTGTCTCACAGGAAAGCAATGGGCCTTCGTTTTCCTCCCTTTTCCTGCCAGATTTACCTCCTGCTGCTGCACTGACAGCCTTTAGGAAGGTCCACCTTTCCCTCAACGGTCTCATGGTGATTGAGAACTGCAATCGCCTCCCAGCAGTCCAGGTCAGCACAGAGAGGCCAACCAAGGTCCACCAGTCCACGCTGACAGCTGAAACAGCCGAGAGACGGTCACCAAGCGTTGAGCAATAAAAAGCGCAGGGGAAAATAGAGACAGACCGGCTCCCTTGGGCAGCGCAAGAGCAGGCCTTTGTGAAGAAACATTCCTTGAGGAATCTGGGGAAACTACATTATAAAACTGCAACAGCCGGCAGGACAGAATAATAGCACAAGCATCCTTCCTGCAGCGAGAGCGCTCAATGCCCGTGTGGCCCAGACCCCTCTACCCAGTGCTTTTAACGGTCACTTCCATTCCCACTGCCTAGGCATTCAAGGGTAGGAGAAATTGGGGAAACACGCCTCCCTTTCTAAGTCTGCAGGTGGAACCTGGTCAAAGGACACCAAGTACATTTTGACATTTTAGTTTTTTCTAAAGGAGCCAGGGATAAGAAAATGTGCCACTAGACCATGAAAGACTGAAATAAATGGCATTGTTTTTCCACACCAGACCAGCTATAAAGATGCAAAGAAAATGCAACGTGAAGAAACTAGGAAAAATCTTGAGTGTTTCAGAATACCTGTGAGCTAGAAATGAGCTGTGTGCCTTATTATATATATTGTCCAACTGGGACATTTTTGAGAGCAAATGGAGAGATTATTATTAACTGCACCTGGCCAGCTGGGTGTTAACCAGAACTACCAAGGCAACGGGGCGAGAGTGGCCACCTACCTCTGAGGGGTGCACTCTGTGGATTCAATCCTCAGGTGAAGAGGGTGGCACGTACCTAGACTGTAAAGGCCAGGTCACACTATTTTTAAAAGAAGCTCTCTCTGGATTTAGCTCTTTGACTCTTCTCTGATGCAGTTTCGACCCAAACTGCATTGGCATTTCTTATCAGCAGAAGCAGGCAATAAAATGTGGGAAGGACTCTAAGAGAAATGGGCCAGCGCTCTTGTGAAATTCTTTCAACACAGCCACATGCTTCTACAAACAGGAAAACATTTAGCAAGAGGTGTGCAAGCCGGTTATAGACACAAGCACATGATTCCAAGGTGACTGTCATCTGGCCCACATCAGCACTTCTCCCCTTTAAAAATAAGCCCAAAAAAGTGAAGCTTTGCTTCACATAGCCAAGGGTTCCTGCATCACAAAAGTAATTCATGTTCCAGTCAGGTGATTTCTAGCAAGAGATGAGAAATGGATATGTCACCTGCACTCTGACGACTTCACAATGTCCCCAGAACTTCAGAGCCAGCTGACTCCAGAGCACTTGCTGTGCCTACTGCTTCAAGGACAGAATTTGAGAGGGCCTTCTTCTAGCCCAGCACCCCAAAAGAAAAGCACCCTAAAAAAGCTGAAGTCAGAGAGGCCTTGATTAAAATAGTAGAGGGGGGAGTATTCCATAGCAATTTCTTCTGTTCACTGGCCAAAGTTTCACCCCCAGATCCTTCGCCAAAAGAGAGACAACATTAGACCTGGGCACTCTTGACGGTTCCTCAAAAGCAAACCCTGAGCCCCCCGCACCTCACACTCCCACTTCATTATGGTGCTCCTGGCTCCAGGGCACAATGCGGGCCGGTAAGGAAAGTGTTGCAGAGATGCTTGTGATAGCAAGTGGGGTGCTCCTCCCCGCAGCCTGGTCACTGCCTAACTGGGCGTCAGAGGAGCCAGCTGCTACGCAGCCTGCACGGCGCACTGGACTCCGGTGCGCAGTCTGCCCTTCAGGGCTCCGCCAGTTTACCGACCTTGGGCAAGTCCTCCCATCCCATGAGACAAAGGCAGGACTCTGCTACTCCTCAGATGGCAACACCGTGCAGAAAGCTGGCACCAGGGAGCTCGGGTGCTGCACAAACACGCCAAAGGTGAAGCCTATATTCAGTGGCGCACCCCGTGAAGGACATACGACTTCCCTGAATTCTGTTTTCCACTGACTGTCCCCATAAAATCTCTTAATCCTCCGACATGTTGTCTCTAGGGCCTCTCCTTTGCCCTGCATATTTCACACTGAGAACAGGGAAAACCTACTGTGAGCCAAGGTGAGATTTCCTTAATTCAAACTTCACTGATCTGAAAGTCTCTATGCTAGGCTGAGGTTTAACTTGGCCCAGCAGCCCTCCGTCTTCTTTCACACAGCAATTTAAATGTATAAACAGTATTTGGGGAAAGTGTCAAAACGCATCAGAGAATCCATTTTTTCAACACATCCGAAGCGCTCACAAATAATTGTTACAGGAAATAAGTCACTGTTAAATATTCAGTATCAGAGCTCCCTACTGACTCCTAAAAGGCAGTGTCTGTCTGTCTTAGGTGTGTAACTGTAACTCTTCCAAATAATCTAAGATTCAGACTGGGTTGTTCCCTGAATTACTGCAAGTGAGCGTCATCTCATTCAATCTGCAATGAAAAGGGTCCCATGTCTAATAAACATTAACGACTGGATTTTATGGTGTTTGATGTTAGACCCCAGTAAGTAGGTGGTATTGACAGAACCTTCTTTCATATTGGAACGTGGAGATCCACGTGTTTCCAATTGTTCTGCCACCGAGCACTCTCTCTGTACCCCATCCCATGCTCTGTACCACACAGGCGCTGTGAATCTAACTGGGAACACAAGACTAGAACCTCTGAGAATAATCAGACCCCAAATTTTGTGGTACTGACTCCAAGCAAAATAGGAAATTTCAGAAGGCAATACATTAAGCAGAGCAGCCCTGAGTCAGGAGGCTGTTTCAAATCAATGCCTCCAATGCTCTGGACAGTGCCTGTGCCCAGGAGCCCCTCCCACTGCCCCGAGGCCCCACCCTCGTGAGTGGTCTGCTTGACACCTCCTCCGAGGGGCTCCCTATGGGAACCTGGCTCTCTTGTTCTGATTACACCATCAGCCTGCATGCACTGGCACACATCTCTGCCACTGAGGTTCGAACTTCCCAGCACTGTGCATCTAGTTGTCCTTCACAACTTACATGGACCAAGCCTGTGCCTCTGAGAGTGGTCAGCATCTTGCCAGGGACCAGGCACAAATTAAACTCACTAGCACTTCCTTCAATGAATGGATGAATGAGTGCATGAGTGCACTTTGTCCTGTGTTCTGTAACTTTGTGGAAACTTCCCGACTTGTAAAAATTAAGTAGTAAATCGGGGCTGCCACATTTTTGCCTGGCAGCCCTCTCATGTCAGAGAGCAGCCCTGTGGAATGTAGATATCATTTGTAAATGTCAACTTTGCCAGGCAGTTAGCAGAGGTGCTAGTATTCCCCTGAGTGTAAAGTCCCTCAGCAAGGTGGACAAGCGAGATTCTGGTTTCGATGACCCACACCTGCAAATTCTCAAGCATCCTTAACTCAGGCAGGGCTACAGCCCTGTTCAGTTGGCCTTTTGCAATGGCCACCCTGTCCCCAAGCATCTGTAATCACCTCCATGGCAACAGCATTTCTCACATGATACCACCTGTTCATAACAATAAGTTTACCCTCTGGAGACAGGAAATTCAATATTGTCAATAACCTATGCAGCAGAAAAATAAACCGATGTTCCCAAGGTGGGCTTACGTCAAGGCCCTCTAACAAACAGCATGAATTATTTAGCTCATGAATGCGAGCAATGCATGACAACATATGGAAAGGATTTCTGGCACCTTCTTTTCATATATATTTTAGTGTTTTCACTTATCTGAACCAAGCAGTCAGCTGGACTTAATTCCTTTCTGACTTCAGTTTTTCTATTGTTACCTTCCCTGATACATCTGTTGCCAAAGAACCTTTATCAACTCCAAAATCTTATTTCAACTGAAAACTAATCAGTCTTTAACCTTTCATAACTTCATGTGGTTGATCCATTTGTTTCCAAAGTTTGAACCGCTCCTTAACCTTGACCAGGTGCTAACTTTCAAGATTCTGATTGAACTTGATTCTAACCTGTGCTTCAATTTTTTTTTAAGTCTTCTAAAGCTCCCCACCCTACTGGCACCTGGTCATGTTTAATAACCAGACCCAGGAGTTTGGGGAGCTGTGCCTGGCTCTGCCTCTGCCAGTTCAGGACCTCCTCGAGGTGCTGCCACTGGAGGGAAGGGCCTGTCTGTGCTTTGCCACTTCCCTGCCCTTCCCCTTGGCCCAGGGCAGGCAGGACCCCAGAAAGCCAGCTTCCTTGTCTCCGGAAAGACAGAGACCCAAAGGGCCCCCAAACTTCCATGATGCCCACCCTCTGCAACAGTGTCTTCCTCAGTCTGCTGGGTCAATCACATCCTGGACTAACTGCAGAGATGGGCAAGCTGAAGCTGAAGTGTGGGTGGCACAGTGCCAGCGTGGCCCCCAGGAAGGACCACTGCCTACACTGTCAACACTCCTGCTTGCTAGCTGTGAACACCTTGGCAAGTTCAGTCGCCTTCCTGTGCCTCAGTTACTCAGATGTAAAAGAACACCAGCGACAGTATCTAGGCACGGGGATTGTGAAGATTCATTGTGATGCAATGATCAACACACCAGAGCCTGACACCCCAAAACTATCCCGAAATAAATACTTAATCTGTCTGCCTATGTATTTATCTCTATATACCCATACCTATCTATATCTCCTTCCTTTCATTGAGTATGAGCTTCTTAGGAGTATATACCATTCCTGACTCATCTTTCCACCCATCGGAGAAGGTAGTCACCATATGCTAATTGATTTAAGGTTGTTAAATTCACATTTTAACCAAACTCTCTTTAATTTAAAAATATTTCAACTACTACATAGCTGCTAAATAAAAATATGGGCTTCTCTTTTCTTTTGCATACCAGGTATCTTGCCAATGGGTTTCAGCCCAAGGCAAGTCACTATGGATTCAATGTGACTAAAGAAATGACAGTAGAACATTCTTGGGGTGAAAGGGTTATACCCAACTTTATTCCCATGGTGGTAGGTCAGTCACTAGAATCCTGTCCACTCAGAGAGAGTCTGCACGCAACAACCCGGTCTCTGCCTCTGGGCCTCTCTATCCGCAGCTGTCTGTCTCTGTCCTCGGTGCTGCCACCACTCCAGGCTCATCTCTGCTCTCCTGCAGTCTTGCAGCCGTGCCACCTTGTCTCTCAGAGCATTGGGCGGAGCTCTTTGTATAGAGTCGGTAACAAAGTATTGCCCACACGTGTGCAGTGAGCTAGCCTACCCAGAGCCAGGTGAGAATCCTGGCCACAGGAACCTTCACTTTATCCACCCCAGGCTTTCCGGGGAAAACCTCTGTACATATAATCTTACATCTAGGGAGAGCATCTTTAGCTCAGAGCAGTAAGAGGCTTGGGACTAGCCCAGCAGAGAGCTGAGCTGCCACATAACACATGTGATATCACATGCACACACACACACACACACACACACACACACATGCACACACATGCACCGACAGGCCAGGGGGCAGCCAAAGTTAACTACTGAATTATAATTAGATGCTCATCTTATTTTTGTAAATGCTTCACACAATATCACCCACACACTATGCTGTAGGAAAGACCAATGACTTACTTATTTGGGCGATATGGAGGCACAGGGTTGCTGTCTACATGGTTCAGGTCAAAAATAAAGTTTGTCCTAAAACACAGTTGAGAGGCAGTTGAAGTCAAGGTAAATGTCTTGGTTTGAAATAGCTGTGTACTTGTTTGAAGCATCCACTTCACACCATTTATGAAAGATATACTTTAAAGAAATATTCAACACTGAAGGCATTTTCAGCAAAATGTCTGTGAGTTTTGACTGTGTACCAGGTACCACAAAAGGTGGTGACAAAACAATGCTCGGTGGTACCAAAAGCGCCACCATGTGACAAGGACAGCGAGGTGATTTGTGGGCATTAAATGATGGCTTGTGCTGTGGCGGCCACAGGACTGGGAGCAGTCCTTCCGAGCTTGCAAATGAACTTTACAAATGAAGCCTGTTTACCAAAGCAGGTCAAGTAGAAATTTAAGTTTATTCAAAAATCACACTTGGAATGGTGTCCAAATGTTCCCAGCCAAGACAATGCATGAAAACCCATGAGGAAACATGCCTCAATCATTCTTCTTTCATTGCTAAAACGGGTGGTTAGGGGAAGAGCCCCAGAGGAGAATGTCCAGGGCAGAAGGGAAAATGCCGTCTCCCACCAGTTTGTCCCAAGAGGGTGACAATCCACATGGGGCTGAAAGATTTCTACAGCAGGTGATTTCTCGCACCAGAGGCCAGTCTCTCCAGGACACTGGGTGCCCCCAGCGCTCTGCCTCATGCCAGTCCCCAAGCTGAGTTCTTCCATTCAGTCAGCAAATGCTCCTGGGTGGCCACCGTGTGCAAAGCATCAGCTTCATCAGAAGGCAGCAGAGAGAAAAAGCCCCAACGACGAAATCACTTGAGTTCTGTTGTTGAGTCTAAGTAGCAAAATACCCAAAGGCAGGCAGACTGCAGATAAAGATGAAGTCAGAAAATCCTATGGATAAAGTGAAGGTTCCAGTGGCCAGGATTCTCCCCTGGCTCTAGCTGGCTAGCTCACTGCACACGTGTGGGCAATACATTGTTACTGACTCTGTGTAAGGAGCTCCTCCCAGTGCTCCAGGCAACACGGCTGCAGGGCTGCAAGGCTGCAGGAGAGCGGGGACTGGAGTGGTGGCAGCGCCGAGGACAGGGACTGAGACGGCTGCAGGGGCCGAGAGGCCAGCTTGCTGCATGCAGACACGCTCTGAGTAGACAGAATTCTAGTGACTGACCTGCCACTGTGGGAATAAAGTTGGTATAAACCCAATGGGACAAGAACATTCCATTGTCATTCCTCAGTCTCACCGAATCCAGTGAACTTGCCGGGGGCTGAAACCAACTGGCAAGACACCAAGACCGGGCCCTTCCTCCCATTCTGCCCCTTCTCTCATAGGCCAGGAAGGCTTCCTTGGGGCCCTCTGGGGAGCAGGGCACCAGGGTTCTTCGTGCAGAGATATAGAGGCACCGCCCCCACTGAG